GGTCAGAAAAACAATTGTAGAAAACGTAAATTGCGTTTATGTTGTTTAATCACCGTCCAATATTTTTTTTTTAATTGGTGCTCATATCAACACCTTACTCTGGATAGTCACTAACATTTATTAAATTCTTCCATTAAATTGTACCATATCAAACTATTCTGAAAAGTTTCATTTAGATCCGTTGATAAGTTTTTTATTCGTAGTGGAGAAATAAATGTAGGCCTATATGTATTTTCTACTTATTAGTTGACTCTCAAATAGATTGAATAAGCCTTTGGAACCCCTAAATTGTCATATTTTTAGGCCTCGGCCCTTGGAACACTTTCCGACCACGCCCACTTTTTTGTCAGGGACATCCATCTCCTCCCCCCCCCCACCGTCGGGGACGTTGGACACCCCACGTCGGACAAAACAAGGTGCCATCCCTGCACTAAATGGGATCGTTACCAACACAAAATAATTTCTTCCTTGTAACTTGGTTTAACTTTCCCGAAAGTTTCATTCAGATCAGTTTATCTGTTTTTGAAATATCTGGTCTGGGATGTTTTCCTTTGAATGGTCTTCAAATTCACATTCTGCTTCGGATCGTCACCAAAAATTAATGATTTATTAGACCATGACAAACTATTATAGGAAGTTTCATTTAGACCCATTGATTAGGTTTCTGAGATATTTAGGTCCGGGACGTCAGAATTTAAATGGTCGTTTAATTGGTCCTCACATCCATACCCCACTCTAGATTGACACTAAATATTAGGATGTACATCTTTGGTATATGGTCTATGATTCGACAAAGTATAAAAAAGATGCAAGGATGGAAAGCAGAAAAACCCAGTGCAAAAAAAAAAAAAAAATAGGAAAAAATGATATGGAAGAAAAAAGAAGTAAAAATTAGAACCAAAACAATGGCTTTCCAGCTACTGCTGGGAAAAGCCAATAATGGTTTACTTATAGATGCACTTAACATAAACATGAAAAACAGACCAAAACATTAAATATACACTTAATCTAACCGTAGCCCTATAGATAATGACAAAAAAGAAAGGCATTTTTCGGAAGCCACGAGAAAAATTGTTTTGTGTATAGGCGGGCCATCTAATGTAGATGATTTACGTGGATCACGCTCATTTTGGTGGTACGATTAATATTGGACAAACACGTTTTTAAGTATTAATTTTCTTATTCATACACACAACATGCCCGTTACTAAGGTGTGCTTGTTTGGTCATTCATTTATATTTAATTTTACTTGATTATATTTCCTCACCACGAGTTGGACCGGAGTTTGGTTTGTCAAAAGACAGCAGCATTACGCTAAATTACCGGTGTAGAGGCGGACTCATGCTGCACAGATATCGATCCATGCTATATACTTAGACGGAGACTCCCGACGCGATCATTATACAACTGGGAGAAAAATACTTATACACCCGTGATAACAGATATATCGTCAGTCATATATCCACTAATAAATTACCGTTTGCTGGGTGCAAGATTGTGGTGCTATGTAAACTTCTCCAGCACTCACCAAACGCGGTTGAACACGATTTTAATAACAGAATAGTTAAACTTGATCTCCAGTTTGAAGAACATTTATTTGAGAAAAATAATGTGCACTTTTGGAAGCAAAGAGGGTTCTGGAACGATTTCTCGCATCTCAACCATGATGGTGTGCATCTAACCATGATCTAACCCAACATTGCAATTCAAATCCAAGTCGCTCGTCTGGAATATATAAATTAT